CGTTTGTTCTATGCAAAAGATAAAAGCATTATGTTGCTTGTATATACACCACTAAATAAGTTTGGCTTGTGCGCATTCATCCGTTTATATTAAGTAACGCGTGATCATATATTATTGAGATTTCTGGGATTTTTTCACATAAAAATATTACCTTTATTTTGCTTATTCTATCACTCATCTATCGAACAGCTTGAAGAACGGAAAGAGAGAGTGAATCAAAGATTGGACAAAATGTGTTCTATATTTTGACTTTACTTTTTTTTCCCATCGTCATATAGGATTAAAAATGTATTAGGGCTTCACAATCATGTAAGAGAAGTCAGCAATCGATACAAGTTTCTTCAAAATGATTTGTTCAATTTGCTGAGCCACTTCAACAATACTGTGGGACAGATATAACTTGACGAACTCGATCGAATGATGAACTCAGATTTTTGACAACAATTGCTAGACAACTATGAAATCTAAAAGTATGCTTATTACTATAAATCATCATCGTCTTTTAAATATTTTAGACGATTAGTTTACAATAAGAATGAAATTGATAGCTTCAAGAAATAGAGACGATTTGGCCAAAAGTGACACAAAAGTTTGTACGTCCACTTCTACTGTGAGCAGAATATATTACTTCGTGATATGCTTGAGTTTTATCCTCTATTACAAGTTATTCGAACGTTTAACGTGGTAAAATATTTCACGTAGAAAAGAATTTATTTATTTGTTGTAAATTTATTTCGTCAGTATTTTTTGATTCTTTATCAATAAAAGTTAAAGGACGAATATTTGATGTTTGTAGAATATTCTCTTGAACATTGTATATAATGACTTAATTTTCAACCAAAACATTCAATATCAACAAATTAAAAACAAATTAATAAAAATCGACAATTACAACAAAAGCAAATGAATACATCAATGGAAAACATTTTTCACAAATCTGCAGTTCGTTTTTTAGCCAGTTGAGCCAAGTTCAAGAGAACTATAGTGACAACATTTGTGTTTTACGATGAGAAAAAACAATTTCACAATGATTATTATAAAAAAAATTCTATAACTCTTTGCTGATTAGTTATGTTCAGTAAAACCACATGTCTACAGATTGCAAATCTAGTGCTCTGTTAATCTTCAACAAAATGACGTTTCATATCTTGTCGATTTATTTTTAAAAGCTACACAATAAAAGAAAAATTGTGAAAAAGAAACATACTATAGTGTTTCAAGTTGACACAATTTTCTAGCTTTGATTTTTTCTATCTCTTTGTTATTTTATAACATCATACAATTATTCAAACTGTACAAAATATCCTGCATATTCTATTTGATCTTCTAACTTCCGTAAATAGTTTGTATGGATTTAGGACTTTAACTAAAATAAAAACGCATGGAAAGAAACTAACATCAACTTGTAGAACAGTTTTTCTAATATACTACAGATCGAGACAAATTTTTTAGCATCTCCAAATATATTGCTTTACCGTATTTTACCATTATGATCAGCTTGTAATTGATTTTTCGATCAAACAGAGAGAATACACTCTCTACAAAAGTAAATTCTGAATATCTTTTAGAAGGATATTGCCTGTTATGCAATCTATAAAAAATAAAGTTCGTCTCATACAGCATCAGCAATAAATTAATTGAAGTAAGAAAAATAAATTGCATAAAAATAATTGATTTGTGAAGTATTAATAACAGATATCTTCAGTCTGAATGATTATGAAACTGTATTATTTAGTTTCGTTAAATATGGAGATTGATTTAATCGTTTCGACCAGACAGAACCAATTTTCTGTCAACTTCTCATTGAGATTTTTCAGTATTTCTAAGTCGTGAAACGAATACGAATAGTGATAACAATTTTGATACGCGGACAGCGACCTATCATAAGTATTGTTAGCTCGGTTTAGAAAACTACTAAAGTAAAATGAAATTAAAAAGAAACAAATTTATATACGGTAATAGTTTTATAGATATATTTCAACATAGTTACTATGTTATTTTGCTATTGTTCGTGTTTGAAATTAGAATGAACAGATCTAATAGATGGCACATAATAATGCATTTTATTCAAAACTGAATACTTTATATAATCCAACGAATGATATCACACATATAAGTAATAATCCAAAACTTTGATATCAGGATTATTTGTTTTTGCCTAATGAGTACAAAGTTAACTGTGCTTATTCTAAGACGCCATTTTCTTTTCTAATTTACTTATATTTAATAGTTCTTCAAGAGCAAAATATCAACAAATGCAACCAAGCCGTAGGTATAGTATGATAAAAAATGTAGCGAAAACTATTTTTGAATTGATCAATCACATAGCTAAAGCAGCCATGACATCCAGATTCCAAACTAGTATAAGATGATTCAATATATGAATGTGCACTACTTGGTGAACAATAAATACTACATTTTAACTTCGACATACTTAGGACATACCAGAAGTAATGAACCTGATATTGTATTTTTGTATAGACCGCTTGAAAAAATTTTCTTTTTTTATGAGTAGATAGAGCATCTTTCACTCTATCTTTCTATGCTATTTGATTACTACTCAACTAATATCATAATAATAAAACTTCGATAACAACTGTATTTTTTGAAAATTAGCTGGTACCATTAGAACATTATAGGTGTGGCACTTTTGTATTCTACTTGATTATCACCTAATACATTGTATTAAAAAACAAAATATGTTACAAAATACAGCGTTATAGTTGCACTTTTTGTTTTCAAAATGGGCAAAACTCTGAGCTACCAAATTTCGACGTTACAAAACGGAATTTGTTTTTTGGTAAAAAACGAATTCGATTTTTTCCTTATCTCATCTTTTTATTACCTGATGTGTTTCATTTTATAAAACAAAATATATTATAAGATGCAGCATGAAACGCTCTACAATTTAGAAAGAACAATTATAAAAAGATGAGGTAGAAAAAAATGAATTCATCTTTTACCAAAAAACAATCTCGTTTTCGTAACGTCGAAATTTGGCAGCTCAGAGTTGTGTCCATTTTGAAAACAAAAAAGTGCAACTATAAAATAAACGATCGTTTATAAATTGTAGAACTTTTCACGATTCTCTTGTGGTATGTTTTCTTTTTTTTAATGCAAGATATTATGTGATGATAAAATGAAATGCAAGAGTGCCTCATTTTTTTATGCCAGATTCATTATGATCTAAATAGCACAAGCTAGTTTTCAATAAAAACAGTTCTTATCGAAGTTCGATTATTATGATATTAGTTGAATAGTGATCAAATAGCATAGAAAAATAGAGCGAAAGACGCTCTATCTGTTCATAAAAAAAGACAATTTTTTCAAGCTTCCTATAAGAAAAAAAGTACTTGGATCACTACTTTTGGTATGCTCTAGGTAGTTAGAATCACAAGCAAAACACAAATGACGGAATTATTCGAGTTGTGTTTCTAGTGAATATTCTGTTGGAACATAATTTGTTTTGAATATAATAAAAAGTTGGCCGATCATTTCACCTGTTAATGTATTGTCCAGTTCGATTTCATATAATCTTAGCATCAGTATCAAGTCTGGTGAACATTTTCAAATAAAATTATGTACAGCCCCATTGTGCTGCATCTCACATAAACCATGAGCTTGAAAATGATGACCAAGAAAATATCGACTCTGTGATGGAAGCATGTAAAATAATGTTTGAAATAAACCAAAAATTGAAATAAACAATAAGGGTGGTGTGGGTGTGTGGGTATGAGGTGCGAGTAAGTAGGTGTCGGGGTGGGGGAGGGGTGAGTAGGTGGGGAGTGGGTGTGTGAGTGTGGGGGCGGCCCTTCTTTTAAGTCACGTCAACTCCGACTTCCACCTCCACACACCACATCCACACCGACACCCCACACCCACATTCCCACCCACACCCACACCACTCCACACACACCTAAAGGCACGCCATCCCACAGCCATACGGACACTCACATTCACACCCACACACACCTTTAAGATAGCCACCCATACACACCCTCAAGATAGCCACTCACACCCACCCACACCCTCAAGATGACTACCCACACTCACACCCATACCCATATTCCCACACACCCACACCCATTTACTAATTCCTTTGAAAACACATGAAAGGTCCATAGAATAATCTATTTTACCGATTCTAATTCATTTGTTAAATTTTCATTCAGAATCAATTGTTAACTTCCTGTCATAATTAACATATACATTGCAATTTCGTTATTATCCATGACAAGCTAGTGCACATTTCCAGATTGAATTTTGTCCGAACAACAATTCCATGATGTACTCATGTTTTAAATCATATTATGACAATCAGACAATTTTAGAGAAAAATATTTTTTTTATTGAATTATTAAATAGATTTCTGATTATTTCATGGCAATCCTTTTTGCTCATTACTTATTTCTTCCGTCGTTGTTCTCTTTACACGGTACAGACAACGGTGTAGATACTAATAAAGATAATAAAAAAAAAGAAAAGACCACGATGCAAAACAGCCTTTCATTCGCTTTTCTATGGTATGTATACTTGTCGAGATGGTGTTAGTAGTATTTTTTTTCTTTTATTAGCTCAGATCCGATTGGTGTTATCATTTTACCTATTAGAAAATGAATAATTCATATACTTGTTATGGCTTATTTTGTTTCATTCTTTCATTTCTTCTCGTTTAATATATACTAAACTTTCGTCTGGCATGCGCTTGATATGATGTAGGATAATTTTAGAAAGAAAGAAAAAAAACATCGACAAATGAAGTAGGATATGTCATAAAGATTTGTTTTTAGTATAAATATTCAACTATTTTCAACGTAAGCTAGTTTAACGACAACTAAGATTTCTTTACGTGAAGAAATAAAAAAATCTCGTAAGGAAGATTTTTTTGAGTTCGTTATTTCGATTATCTCATCATGAGAACATTTATTGATATAAAATAATTTTTTTGTATGATAATACTGTTTGAATATTTTCGTTTAGAAGTATCAACCTAATAAAAAATGTCTGATGAAAATGCTTCTAGTCTTGAAGATGCTAATAAAAAAGTTCTTCAAGATATGATAAAATGTGCGGAACAAAAGAAACGTGGTGATGCATCAGGTGAAGCTATGTCATGGGTCATCGAAATTTTAAAAAATTCTAATCCAACAAATAATTTTTATCAGCATGTTAATGGTTCCTCTAATCAAGTTGTCGAAGTTGAAAATATTTTCCAAGGACAAACTGGTGATGGAAAACCTTGGGAAATGCGATTTAAAATCAATGCCGATTTGCCAAATGAAGCAAGAAAACATAAAGCACATTTTGGTTGTGATGTTTTTTGGAATAATGAAAGGATTCTTGCTACACATAAATGGCTTCCAGATGGTATGTTGAAAGTCGGAAGACCAACTATCCAAGCTATTAGACTTGAAGAATTTCCGACTGGACATGATGAAAAAAAGTTTGATGATAAACGTTACGTAACTTGGGAGTCTATTTCAAAAAAATATGCGCATTAAATTTTGACATTTATTTTACACTGTTCTTCATAGAAAAAACCATTTTTAATAAACATTTTCTATGCAGAGTATGTTTCACTTAGGGTTGATCAAAAGTTCTGATTAAGGTGGTGAATATTTTATAAAATACTTAATATCGAAAGTTTTATTACATGAATACATAGTAAAATACCTCGTCTATAATAATGGGCATAAAAATTCTGTCTTGGATTAATTCTAGCATTCTTTCAGATAAACTTTATCATATTCGATATCGAACAGAAACCACGATTCAGAAAAGCTTGTTTATTTATACGAGAAAACTAACTGAACTGAATGAACTAATTCAACAAGGGTGGGGTATGGGTGTGGGTGTGGTTGTAAGTGTAGAGAAGGTTTATACACACACCCACATCCTGGCATTCAGTTGTGTGCATACTTCACGAACTGAAAGAAGAATATCCAATGGTTGCAGATGATCGAAAATTCGATAGACTAGTTCGACAGGTAATGTCAGCAATGATGGTATAGTGATGTGAGTCATGATGTTTTGTGTTGAAATGGCTTCTGGCTATACAATGTATGCCTTTTTATATCTATGATAATGTGTGTAGATAGGCAAAGTAATGTTAGCTATCGTCAAGTTGGAAAGATGAATGTAAAACACTAAAATCATCGTTATGTGCTTTATTGTGTTCTGTTGCTTTATAATTGATGTGAGTGGGTAAGAATCAAATCGAAGAAAACGGCTCTTAAAAAATAACGAAAAGATAAAAACGAGAGTCAGAGTGGGGGCAATTGTCTTTGTCTTTCTCACCTTCACACCCTTACATAGTAGAAAGATGGACAAATCGATTTCTTGGCGATGAATGAAGACGATGAATAGGTGTACTGTAAATTAATCGTAACGAGAACAGATGTCTCTCTGTTTGACACTGATCTTGTGTTCAAAGAGAAAAAACCTCACACCGTCGCTACTAGTACACTTATTGAAAAGTGAAAAAAATATTCTTGAAGATAATGCACAGTGAGACCTTCGAGAAAGGTCGAAATTAATCATGACTTCCTTCTCACAATACTCATTCTCACTCTCACCCACTGTTGTCAATTTTTCTTTTTACCATTTATCGGAAAATATACCTATGGGTTCGGGTTTTTTCGCATGATTGTATATCTGAATTATATATATGTTAGTTGACTTTCTTTTGTTCAAGATAAATTAATTATAAGATTATTCGTACACAGATAAAATGTGCTGTTTCGATAAGCAACGTTACACGTTTTTTTGTCTTTTTATCCTTTTGTTTTGCATTTTATGACAAAACTATATGCATTTTCGAGAAGGCAAGGACATCAACGCATCATCATTCAGGTCTTCTTTAGGTTTACAATAGATGCGTTTATTTAATGGTTTAGTTACAGTGACAGCAAGAAATAACATGTTTTCTAATACTTTCATCTGTGCTTTTTTCTACTTTATTTAGTTGATATTATTTTTGCACAAGAAAAGTAGTAGAAACCAGTGTTGCTAAACAGACTGCTGCACCAGTAGTCAGTGAATCACCAGCTGTTATACAACGTTGGAAACGTGACTTTTCCAAAACAAAAACTGATGGAATTACATATGATTATATTAGTGTTGAATCAGGTTCTGCTGGTGCTGTCTTAGCTAATCGCCTATCCGAACAAAATGATAAACAAGTTCTTCTAATTAAAGCTGGTGGTGCCGAGGGTGTGAGTGTGAGTGTGAGTGGGTGTGAGTATGGGTGAAGTGTCGGTGTGGGGTGTGGGGGTGAGTGTCGGTGCGGGTGGATGTGAAAGTAGATCTTCCCTTCCTCCATCCACACTCATACCCACCCACACGTACATCCACACAGACACCACACTCACACCCACATCCCACCCTTTAGCCGCCACCGCTGTAAAACCTAGTGATTCGAATCATTCGCGCCGCCGCAGATCGAGCAATCGGCTTACACCTCTAGTTGAGTCCAATCTCAAAGCTTACAGAGCAACATTCAATGTATTCGTGAAACTTTCAGGAAAAACCTGCAACATATTTTTAGTTTCGAGAGTATTACTGACAATGCTTCCAGATATAAAAACTTTTTACTGCAAGAAAACTAACAACGCACAGTTATTAATGAAAAATGGAAGAAAAGCAAAACAGAAATCCGATCCTTGCAAAAAATGGCACAAGAACGTCTATTTTTTACTTTTCTTCCTTTGTTCGTCTGAAATTACAGTGTCAAGAGATGAAAGAAACGAAAGAGAAAAAAAGATGCGCCTGAATGAGTGTGTATGATGAAAGAACAAAAAAAAAACATGTGCATGCCATTATATTTCATTCCTTTTTTTGTCGTTAAAAAGAAACGTGAAGTAAAATTGTTCGTTTAAGAATTCTGTGTGTGTGTAAGTAACATAAGTCAAAACAATGGCTTCGTATATTATGAAAGCAACGATTGAAAATGAATTTGATAAAGTTGTAAAAACTATGAAGGGTACTCATTAACTTCTGGTCATCACTATATTTATGTCGTTTCTTAGAGCTAACTATTGGTGAAAGTGACGATGAAGAAAAAGAAGATATCGGTATTTCTGACGGAGAACTGCTTGTAAGCATAATAGATTTTCTTTTAAAAAATGCTGCATTTTAGAATGTTTCAAATTTTATTCCGCTACTACTAGACTGAACAAAACAGACAAGCAACTATGGAAGAAGAACGAAAAGCAAGACACACTAAGGTGGAAAAAGAGCGTGAAGAAGTAAGGCAGAAAATTCGCGATAAAGTGAGTAGTGTAGAAGTTTCCGGCACTACATTTCTCTTCTAAGAAAGTTTTCGTTCTCGATCTGCTTTCATAGTATAATATCAAGAAGAAAGATGAGCTCTCCACTCCCGCTCGCAATAAAACGACAACAACATTGAATGAAAACAAAGCAAGAGAAGTGCATCAAGCGTCTAGTGCAGAAAATCAAGGTAGATAGTTCAGAGAAATGATAGGCTACGTACTGCTTTCATAACAGAGCTGTTCATAGCACTCTTTTTTTGCCTTTCTCTTATCGATATAAATTGGCACCCTGTCGTGCTCGGCAGGTTAATAATATACTTTTTACTCAGTAAAAAACTTGAGCTAAATTTGCATAAAACTGGTTTTCTTAATACATCATCTAACAGAGCAATTTTTAGTTAACCCTAAAGTTTTTGCTAAAAATATCTAGGAAATATTCACAAAAATCTTCAATCCCGTTTAGTGCAGGTTAAATTGACTTATCCTATGCTACCTTGGAAACAGCTTTGCTTTACACTATGCTGAATTAAACGATCTTTTTTCTGCCTTTTCGTTTTCTCTTCTTTTTTTAATTAGGTTCTGATCCAGTGAAAACGAAGACAAATGTATTTAACAGTTTAAAGAAAAAATTCGGATGGAAATGACATGTTTTGATTAATTGTACTATACTCGGTCTTAGATTTTTTTTATAGACATGATTTTTATTTGTTCGCATCTTTTTTACGTTCAGCTTTTATTAATTTTTCTGTATCCTGTTTTTGGTTTGACTAAAATTTTCCACTATTCATTTGTAAATTGCATAATCTTGCATGTGTTGTTTTTAGAGATTTATTTCTGTACAAATCTTTTGAATGTACTCTAAAGATTGATACACAGAAAACTGAATCATGTTTCGTGCACTAATCTTCTAACCAAGAGACTGATCCTCTGAGGCGTTACATTTCAGCTTTTCTGACCTATGTTTTCATTGCAGAAGGCTGAAAGTCTGTCTAAATTCGAGCAATGCCACTAATGGATTTATACGGGGATCGGGTGACTTGATCGAACTCTCTTCTAAAATGTTTGTGCGGGTGCAAGTGTGGGTATTGAAGTTGCGAGAAGACTAACACCCATACCCACATGAGCCTTTCTATCTCAAACTGCTTTGTTTTATTGCTTTGCCAACTATATCAGAAAAACACTCGAAAAAAACTAGAGAATAGACGTCAAAAGAGCAATCCGACTAAAATGACGTCTGAGTCAGTAAATTCCAGTTTCGTCGAAAATGGAGCTCGCCAAGTCAATTTATCATCGAAAACAAATATAAGTTGCAGTTAATCGGTCTTATAGACAACAATTATATTTTAGTTAATTAGTCCATGATACCATATCAGATGGTTACCAAGTCGTTTACCTTCCAAAAATAGATGATATTACGCGCTTCGCATTTATTGAAAGTTAATGTGAATATAGGAATGGTGCTCAATTTAGACTTATATGCGTATGTGTTCATTTCATATATTCATATATTTATCTAGTATGTGAAACAAGAAGGAAACCAAAGAAAAAAAATCTGCTGATCAATTCGAAACAAAAATCATATTTAGTTTTTTTTTGTACGTTCATGTCCAATTGTAGCTGTAAATTTAGTCGTACTTGTACGTCTTCTACTATTACTCGGTGAAAATTCATTCGACATTGTTAATTGGGAAATTAAACGATTTTGTTTTTTAATTTCATCATCAATTTGTTTTTGAATTTTTCTAAAGACACGTGTAAAATACTTTTGGTTTGTAGATTGACAAGATAAATCGATATGTTGCATCTTTGCCATAGCATCTGATGCAACTGTCCAGTGTGGGGTGTGGTTGTGGATGTGAGTGTCGGTGTGTGTGGAGGTGAGTGGGTGTAGATGTGGGTGTGTGGGTGTGGGTGTGGGTGTTGGTGTGAGGCTTGGTGTCATCTGTTTCACATCCACTCGCACATCCACTCCCACCTACACCCACATTCACACTCCACATCCGTACCTACACCCTCACCCCACCCCCACCCACCCCCTACCTATACCCACACCCCACCCCCCACCCACCCCCTACCTATACCCACACCCCTATCCCCACCCACAAACCTATAGTTGTTCTTTAGCTTTTCTGAAGTATTCAGATCTTAAAAGTATTTGAAATTTTTATTGAAATAAATTAATACCAATATCTTCTTCTATTATTTGTTTAATAGATTCACTAGATGAGAAAAAAAAGAAGAATTCAAAGAGATTTTTAAAAAAAATTTTTACCTTGAACATGATGGTATTTTATTATTATTAAAAATTACGTATAAACCCAAAGCAAATGCACATAATGATTGAATAAGAAGTTCACGATCATCTTCCATTGATTGATCACGTATTTGTGAAATAATCTGAAAAAGGAGAAAAAATTTAGGAAGAGAAATATCTTTTGATAAACATTAGACATACGTACGTAATGCCATTTTCAATTGAAACTAATGCTTGTACTGATGGTGAACTATTTGATAACAATGTACATATAAAAATAAGTACCGCAACACGAGTATGACATAAAGATGGAGCCTATTGAGAATGAAAAGAAAAAAAAATATATAAAACATAGATTTTGTTTAATTTACATTATATAATAAATCAATTCATATTTCCATTAATGTTTTAGCATTTGTTTGTGTTTGATCAACTGATAATTTAACTTTAAGTATATCTTCTTTAGATTTTGGACTATCAACAACTAAATGTGAAAGTAGAATGCCGGAACACCATGACGCCACAATATCTTTACTTAAATAACCGGATCTTAAGAAATAATCCATGGTGTGTTGATTAGCAGCTAAATGAAATTAAAACAATTTTTTTTCTGTTTTTTTAAAACAAAAAACTGACCATTCTTAGTTTGAGGTGAAAGTGTTTGAATGATTATTGATTTTTCGATCTTATTTTTGTGTAAATAACATTGTAAAAAATAAAGGATTGATATTTGAAGTGAAAATGATTTTTCTTCATCACAAATCATTGCATATAGAAGATTGAATAATATTGCTCTAGAAAAAAACTTAATTGATATTAATAATTAAGAGTGTTTGAAGATTTATTAACTTTTGAATGACACCAGATGTATTCACTACAGAATTAACAAATGCTTGATTTTCAATATTATCACGAACAACATCACCAACTGTATTAAGAACTTATAACATATTGGAGAATATATCGATTCAAATACCGAAACTAAACGTACTTCAATTATGATCTGAGCAGGAATAGTTGGAATTGTAAGCATGTTCCACATACCATGTAATAGACCTTTAAAAGACATTAAAAATTCTTTTTTCTTTTTTTTATTCTCTTCTTACCACATTGGTAAATTATACGTTGGCATGCAACAATATTTTCTTTACGATTTTTTGGTGATACAAGTGCTCGAATTATCTGAATAAATACAAAAAGAACAATGATATTGCTAGTTCTTGAAAAATAATTTTTTTTTATTTCTTATTTTTAGAAAAAGTTGAACATTTGTCATATTTTGTATAGAACAATCTTTTTTACTAATTGAACCGAGTTCAAAAACATCAAGTAAATGTTGAATGTTAGATTTTTGATAAAAATAACTCTGACTTGATGCATTATTTTTCAATAAACAGAGGACAATATGTAAATATTTTTCAACAACATCTATTTTTAATGTACAGAGTGTCCCCAAAGTCCTGATCACTCAAGAAAATGGCGTATCTCCACTCCCGTAAAATGTAAAGAGCTCAGTTTTTGCCCAATAATAGAGAGATACTAAAAGTTTTTTTTTGGCCCGAACCCACTGAAAAAATTTGAGATTATATGAGATTTTAACCGGATTTTCGTGAAACAAAATCCGAATTTTAATCGATTGAAATCTTCCAAATCAACTATAATCTGATTTTTAATCAAAAATAATCTCGTAAATCAAGTAAAATTTTGATTAAAATCTTACATTTTCGATTAAAAATCATATTCAATCAAAAATATATGATTTTAATCGGAGTTTTACTTGATTTACGAGATTATTTTTGATTAAAAATCAGATTATAGTTGATTTGAAAGATTTCAATCGATTAAAATTCGGATTTTGTTTCACAAAAATCCGGTTAAAATCCCACATAATCTAATATAATCTCAAATTTTTTCACTGGGGAATGAAGCTTACAAATAAGGTTCAAAAGTGTTAAATTTGGTCAAGACACATAAATTTAGCGGGGGGGGGGGGGAGTGTGAGTGTTGGAGTGCGCAAAAGGTCCACACCCATATTCACACCCACATCCACACCCACACCCCACATCCACACCCACACCCCACATCCACACCCACACCCCACATCCACACCCCACATCCACCCCCACACCAACACCCACACCCACCCCTTGGTATCAGTCACACACTACCAAACATGATTCAATTGTGAGTTATTCGGTGCATTTCGTTTCTGTAATAAGTATTGATATGCAATATTATCTAATATTATTTAGAAAATACCGCATGTATTATTTCATTTAAAGCTTGAATTTTTTTGTATCAAACGAGACTTTCTTTTTTATACAATTGCTCGGGCTATAAGAAAGAAATCTGCTTTTCCTTATATTCAATTTATGTAAGTTATATTATTAATTAGTTTCGTTAGATCATGATTATATCCTTTGTATAAGTGTTTTCATGACTTTAACGACGGAAAAGCAGACATGCAATTCCAGTTTAAAACATGAAAGATCCTAATTTTAGAGATGAAAAGAAAACACTTTTTGCTTGAATATTCAGTCAGATCTTGGAAACAGCAAATAGACTATGGAATTATTATTTTCTTTTCAAGGATAACGATCTTACTAATGTTAGAATACTTTTTTGCTGAATTATTCTGATCATGGAGATGGAAATCCAATTATAAGGCTATGATTTTCATTGTTACAAAAAAATCTTACTAACATTAGAATGGCGTTTTTTTCTTAGAATATCCCAAAGTTGTAGATGAAAAACAAACTACAGAGCTACGATATTCATTTCAAAAATAATATTGCACTGGCATTGGATTAATTTTTTGCCTGAATGTCCTAATTTGGGAGAATTCAAACTAACTGATAGGATAGAATGAAAAAAAATTTACATCGTTCTTATTTTTGTTAAAACTAATTTAATGATCACGAATCTGATAGAAAAATAATTATATATATTTAATTATGAACAATCTCTCTTTACAAACAATACTTGTGTATGTTAAAAACAAATATATTTATAAATACTTATTTATTTTTATATCTTCAACGAAAAATTATCAGAAATAAGAATGAGGTTTTACGGGTATGCGCGTAGCAAAAAAACATCCTTTTCTCTGAGAAATGCATGAGGGATGGTCAAATCAACATGATTTTTGTACAGATGACCATAATTACCCTAATATGTTCTTTCTCTATATATTTGCTTTTATTTTTCCTGTTGTCGGCAATTATTCCTTTTTCATCATCAAATGTTGGTAAGCTATTATTTAAAATAAAGACTGTGAGAATATTTCTCATAATGAGGAGCAGAGGTTGTATCGTTGACGTATATGATCTAAATACCAGTCACTTACTTTAAATTTTGTAAAAGTGATTGCTTTTGTAAATTGTTTATGTTGAATTTTGCAACGTCGATTCTCCTGTTGAAGAAAATTCCACTGTTATCTTGCTTCTCTTTTTTTCATTTATTTTTCTTTCTCCTTTTTTAATTATAAATCGGGAACCATCCTTTTGTAAACGATATTCACCACTTGCTTAGGCCATAGACGAGAAAAAGAAAGGAATCATTATCAATGTGGCGGATTAGGACTAGAACAAGAGAAGAGAAAACATATTTATTCCAGGAGGTCTTTGTCCTGACATAATATCTTCCCAAGAAAACTAGAAGAGCGAAAAACAATTGAAATAAAGAATAAATCTCATCGCTAGTAGTAATGACGTGTCTTCATTAGTTCTTTTCTTTGATCCTTTTATGCCTTTTCTCTTCTGTGATTCTTTCATTCTTGTGTCCGTTTCGTATCACGTATGTGGTGCATCTTCTTATACTTTTTTCTCTCTTTTCTGTTTTGTGATACATTTGATCTTAAATTATTTATTATTATTGTCACCATCTCATTTCCACGTAAACAAATAAATGCTATGAGCATATTATTTTTATTTTCAGTTATTGTATTTTATTAACATTTTCATTTTATCTAAATTTAACAGTAAATACTTGTTCAAATAGAGGCATCAGTTATCCTTATTATTCTCTATAATAAAGAATAAATATCAGCAAATGAAATTATGGTTAACAAATCTTTTTTTTTTTGTATAATTAATAAAAGAATTTTTTATGTTTTTATTAAGGTTGTTCGATCATTGAATGCTACAGCTAAATTAGAAATAGCAAAATAAAGGTCAAGAACAAGTTTTTCAACGATCTATTCTTCAAGGAAATCTTATTTTTCAAGAAATTAATTTTAATATTAATAGAAATCAAGTGAGAAATTACTCTCAAACAAAATCTTTTATCAATTCTATTTTAGTATTCGGATTTTCTTGATTTACTTGAATACAATAATTATTAATATATGAAATATAATTCACTTAACTACCATTATAAAGATGATAAACCAAATTTAAGACAGTTAAAATGATTATTTATCTTTGAAAAAATTTTTATTTTATTTCGATGGAAATTTCCGAAGCTATCATTCCATGAGTATTTCGAGGTGTCGATCTGAGTCATCTGATGGGTAGATAGAACTGAAAATTGTTCATCTCTCGCTGACCCATCGAACCATCGGAAAGTGGCAATCCAAAGAATCGATCTGAAACTTGGATAGGCTCGATACATTCCTCTTTGATGAATTTCAATGTGTTCTGATGGATCAAATTAGCAGAGCTTCGATTGGTCGATATTTCGAGCCATTGAAGTTTTTTTGCATAATTCGAAGAAATTTTTGTTTTCTGCTTTCTATATTTTTCGATCCATCGAAACCTATCGGAAATATTTGCAGAAGAAGAGATTTGAACGGCTATCTCCCCATGCATTTTTCTCAATTTCGATGATTCTGACGAAAAGTGACTTTTTTTAGGGGGGGGGGGGGTTGGCCTTAATTACTACGTCTATGTTATTGTTATTGAGATAGTTTTTAACTACTTTCTGATAAGAGAAAATTTTCTCATTAAGAGGAGCAGTCTCTATTAAAAGAAGCCACTTGGTGTGTGGAGCATTCTTTCTATGAAAACGAGCAGTAGCTATAATGATACTGTCAATTAACGGTGGAGTGCGTGCTAAAGGTATACCGAATTCTCTTTGAAAATTATTCATATATAATTCATTTTGATTTGAAGCTTTTAATTGATGCAAATGAGATAAACACGATGGAGACAGAAAAAATTTCCCTAATGACAAACAGATCTCTAATAAGCATCATTAAAAAAGAAAACGAATAGAAAAAAAAGTACATTTAAAAGTATGTAAAAATATTTTATATTGTCTGTTAAAGGACGTAAAATACAACATTATCAGTCATGTGTAAAACAAGTTATTCTACCATGAAACTCTTATTAATAATATTACTCATACACCGTATTCTACGTTACATTCATCGTCAAATTCTTATAATGTCGTGTTAGTTATTGAAAAATCTATTTTTTAAACAACTGATTCATCATTTCACGGAGCAAATGACAGATATCTTTTTGCGAACATTATTTTTCTCTTTTGATGAGATGATGAATGGAAATAGTACTGAATAGATTCATCATCATTACAACATGCTGTTTGCTGCTCGTTAAGCTTTCATTTCTTCGCAACACTAACGATGAATAACAGTAGTATATCATTCACAAATAACATTGATGATGCATCTACTTCCAATATGAACGAATCTTCTAGTAATAATCTTTTTCCAGGTGATTCTCTCACTATTATTATTCAGTTACCGATATTTTCGCTTACAATTATTCTTGCCATTGCTTACACAGCTCTCATACTAATTCGATCAACACTTCGTAACAACAAACTAAATTGGTTCACAATCAATGTTTGTCTCACAAGTGCATGGTTTGGTATTTTTATGTTAATGATGAATGTTCGCCAACTACTTAATATATCCAGTGGTTTATCTTGTCGTTTTCAAACCTTTTTTATAGATATGGCCGCATGTCAGTTGATGTACTCACATTGTGTATTTGCTATTAGTAGATTCCTCACGATTGTTTATGCACATAAGCGTATTTTTCGTTCAAATCTATGTTTATGGAGTTGCATCATTCTGGGATGGCTTGTTGCTTGTCTTATCGCTTTGCCATACTTATTTGCAGATGGCTTTTTATGTCCTATTTCAACACAATCAGCAGCTTTACCATATTATACTCTCATCACCACTCTATTCTTGCCGATCATGATCGTTACTGTATGCAATGCTCGCACTCTTATATTTGTCCGTAATTCCACACGTCGCGTGCATGCTATAGGTACGGATGGGCACGTGTCGCGTAAACGTGATGTGTTCTTAGTCAAATTAACGATTGGTACTTTTATCGCGTTTATAGTAGGATGGACTCCTTCTTTTACTATACAGTTATTCAATAAAACTGCTTCTGTTCCAACTATTTTGAACCAGTGTTCCCAAATCTTACCATCGTTAACTGTACTTTATGATGTGTTATTATTGATATTTACTAACCAACCAGTACGTATCTTACTAAAACAATTCATTATTAGAATTTTCAAATTTTAATGTATCATGAACCGAACTAAACGTCAATTACGAGTGATCGCATCATCCGTATCCTGGAATTACTGTCAAAAATAATCTTCATAAGACGCGCTTTATTTACATGCAAATTTAAAAAAAAACTAACTATTAATTATTGATTGAATCAAAATATTTTCATTCATCATAAAATAATATATGTGTGAAAGGGCATTCGAGCGTACTCTCACAGTTTGATTTCATTCATAAACAAAGAATTTTTCTAATTTTCCATTCCAAAATGTCTTATTGAACAGTATAAAATCCATTTGTTTTCTCCGGCAGTCAATTGAAGCAAACAGCAGATATCAACTCTTCTCTTTATCATTTGAGACAATGTCAAGCATGTTCAGCCAATTTTCTTTCCATCATAAGTCAATTTCAAAATTTCGTTCTTACTTCGAGACGAATGTATGCAGTAGTAGAACATTCACATCATGTATGTTGGACTTGAATAGCAACATCGATGCTCTGATACGAACACAACTCTACATCTCTCTCTGGCTAAGTACCCAGTGACCCAGCAGCAGATCCGATAATAAGCATTTTCTACGTACTAATCCTCCAGGTTGCTCAGTACCATGATATGGAAATAAACTCAAATAATATGGCAGTCGTCATCGCGACTCTCTTATACTTCTGATTTTATTTCGTCATCTGATTGCGGATATTACGAATTTATTTCGATTGATATCACAGAGGGTATAGTAAATAAATTTGGTTTTCAAATAGATCTGCTATAAAAATTTATGTTCAGTCAAGTTTAATATTAAGCCTTACACGATAAATACTTGTCACCAAAAGTTTTGTGAATTCTTTGACTAAAAATAGATTGGTTTTTTTATATATGAGTCTGATTGATATCACTTCATTTAGTATTAGGTTGACTAAAAAGTTCGCGGTCACTTGCAAAAATTTTAATTTTTTTAAGTTTACTTTTAAAGTTTTTTGTGTTTCATTTTTAAAACTTGTGTATCTCTCGTGTGCTAGTGTTCGCCTGTCTGTAGGGCTGATAGATGGTGTGTATCTGGAAAAGAGGAGAATGATAAAAAAAAGGAAAAAGGGCTAAAAAAATCGAAGAAGAATAGTGTATACGTAGGAGAGAAAAAAAGAAGCAAAAAATGTGATGCATGATCACATTTTTGAAATAACGCATCATGCATCATGAGTCGATAAGAAAGAGAAAGCAAAAAATACAAAAGGCCCAGTCCTCTAGAATAAAATACATACATATGTCTGAAAGAGGAACAGAGAGAAAGAATGGTATCGCAGATGGTATTCTTTCTCGAAAACAACATGTGAAGCGAAATGACATAGAAGACTATGTGAACACGAGGCGAAAAGAATATTTCTAAAGTGCTGTGATGCAGAGGAGAAAAAAACGATAGCGACGACAGTTGTCGTCGATAACAATTAGCTATTCTTGTGTAAATTTTGTAATCTCATTTTCATCATTTTAATTTAGATGAATAATTTTGAAATTCGTGTTTTACTCTGCCACTATTGGAAGAAAGGCCTATCTGCAAGAGCTGCTGCTGCCGAAATCTGCAAAGTAGAAGGTGAAGGAACGATCGGGAAAACTGCCGCGATAATATGGTTCCACCGATTCGATGATGGCGATTTTGACTTCGAAGACAAGCCCCGTTCTGGCCGACCATCTCTTCTGGACGAAGAGGATCTGCGTGCCGCTTTGGAAGACGAGCCGTCATCGAGTACTCGCGATTTGGTCGATAAACTTGGAGTTGCGCAGCAGACCGTTGTCAATTATCTGCACAAGTTTGATTTTGTTCACAAGAAGCCACGGCAAGATCCTCACGAACTCACTGAAGCACAAGCTCTACGACGTCTGGAAGTCTGCCGCTAACTGCTCGACAATCCGTTGGACGATTGGTTCTGGAAGCGCATTGTGACAAGCGACGAAAAGTGGGTTTTCTTGGTCAATCGTGATCGTTCTAGGCGCTGGGTTCCACGAGATCAAAATCCACCATCGGTTGCTCGTCAAGATCGTTTCGGCAAGAAAGTCACGTTATGCGTCTGGTGGAATGTCGATGGCGTTGTGCACTTTGAATTGGTTCCTGATGGTCGAGCCGTGAATGCCGAGCTGTACAGCGAGCAACTGGAGCGTGTCTACAACATCTTGAAGCAGCGCTACCCGATGCTGATCCGCCGAAAAGATGTCCTTCTTCAACACGACAACGCTTGAGTGCATCGTTCTAATTTGACCAACGAGAAGCTTGATGAACTCGATGGTGTAGAGGTTCTACCGCATCCGGCTTACAGTCTCGACCTTGCTCCTTCTGATTATGGCTTGTTTCGTTCAATGCAGCACTTTTTACGAGGACGACGATTTGAAACTTTTGATCAAGTCGAAGCAGCGTGCTGTGAATTCTTTGCGTCTAAGGAGCCTCACTGGTATCGAGATCAGATTCGACAACTAACAGAACGCTGGCGTAAGGTCATTGAGAATGATGGATTGTACTTTGAAGAAAAATTGTTATTGATTTTGAATAAATTTATGCATAAAAAAGAATCTTTTGCAAGTGACCGCGAACTTTTTAGTCAACCTAATATTTCTATTCCTGCATAATTTTTATACTCTTCGAAGTTTATTATATTAGAAAAAAATCAAGCAAAAAACTTATTCAACTTCTTGATTAAAATGTCAAAATAATAGGCGCAGTGATCAGGCATAAATAATAAAGATAAGTAAAACTTAACGTAGTTCCAAGATGCATTTATAGCATAATAAATCATCATTCATTGTGGTAATACCCTCGACTTTTAATATACTGAAACAGTTCAATAAGACTTCATCTTCATTTGGATATTGTGATTGTGCAGAAATACTTTTTGGTCTATTCAATTTTGAACAATCAGCCGAAATTTTCAATAGTACACCTTTTCCCTTAATAAAAGATCTTGTTCGATCTTTATTCACACTAGTCGATGAAAATGCTGGAAAAATAATGGTATCATGAATTTTAAATTTTCTTGAAAATTCTGCGAAACTATTATCTTGTGCCAAAGATATGCCTCGGTATAACTTAACATTGTTTATAGGAAGTATTTTGTTTGATACATCCTTATATATTATTAGAGAATATCGTAATGCTTTGATATAATCTTGAATGATTAGAATTAAATCTTCATCTAATAAATTAAGAATATCATTAATTATTTTATAATAATAGGGTGCTTTAGTTGTATAAAGATGAATAATGTGTTTTTCTGGTTCTGGTTTCTTCAATGCTTCGACAAATTGTTGTGCACATTTTAATAAATTGTCAAGTTGAAAATGACTTGGAATGTCTTTTGGATAAACATGTTTTTTTTGCAATTCATTATGCAATTTAGTCATGGTCATGTTATGATAATCGATACTTGAATTTATAGCTGAAAAATTGGGAATTATAAAACCATTTTGGCTTGTTGATAGATAATACTCGATGTTTTTTAATTTGATTGTGATATCATCGAATGAAAAGCCATAATTGACAAAATAAATTTGTCCATTTTCGATGTCTTTAATCTCCTGAATAACTTGTGAAAACATATTTGTGATAAGTAAGACTTTCTTATACTTTCTTGCCCAGGTTTGGTGATATTCAACAGCAGTACCAAATATGATTATACCTTTGATATGAAAATAATATCCAATTTCAGATATAATTTCTTCTCCAGCTGATCCTGAAGTGATTAACACAAGATTGTTCGTAATATTAGACACAACCGAATCGATCGATTGATCTTTATCATCGAATTGCATTATTTGGTATTGTTCTGGTGAAAATTCATTTCTTAATCTTTCAATATAACATTGATTTTCGTGGTTTTGAAGATTTTTATCATACCATACAATATTAATTTTTGAGTTATGACCATGAATATGACAATGGTGTAATCTCTGTTCGAAGTTATTGAAATATTCATCAAGCTTTTGTATTCGTTCATATTTCTGACTTTGGACGTTTCTGATGTTACATGATAATTTTTCATCTAATTCGCTTAATTTACTTCGAAACATAGCTTCACTTGCCGTGCTACTTAAAAGAAATCCCAGCCCAAATGTTATAACACCGAATGCAGATGCTCCACCAAGAAGAACGATAATTGCTGCGATAAGATTGAACAAGCCAAGTCCCGAAAAAATTGATATTAATAAAACTTGCTCGGACAGAGGATCAAGCAAATCATCAATGGCATTGCTTAATTCATTGAGATATTTTCTGATATCTTGGGTATTGATTGTGGATTCAAGCTGATTAAGTGCATTGAGAAGGATTTCTTTTGCACGTACTTTTTGTTTTGCAATTTGATCCAAGATATTCTGAATGTTTGAATCATATCGTTCTTGAATTTTATTTATATCTGCTTTGAGATCTTGTATTTGAATAAGATTTGAATGATACCATGAATGTCTCCTTTGCAGATTGTTAACTTGACTACGTGTTTCATTTAAACCAGCCAATGATGTATCATAAAGATTTGTCATTAAAGTTTTAAATATCTTCTGTTGCTTTTTCGCTAATTGTGATAGTGTGTTGTTGCTCTAGAATAGTGAAACTGGAGGTACTAACCAGAAAATATTGAAGGACGCAGGACCTACAGGACCTGTCATGTTCTGCAGTGCAGGATGCAGGACCTGCTCTGTAAGTTAGCTATTTTCTTGTAGATTGGTATTGCAGATGCAGAAGCAGAACGATCTTTTTTTTTTGATACAAGACCTGCAGGACAATATTTGCGTTCTTCAGGATGAAATCAAAAAGCTGTTAGCGTAATCCCTTGCGAGATTAAAAATGTGAAACACGATGTACTTGCTGTTGCCAATCTTATAAAAATTGTTCTTTTTTATGCATATTGGTGTACATTTCTTCATCGTGGCTTACTTTACATTATAGAGCTGAAACAGGATAATACCCCATATATGCTCCAATCATGTATTAGTTATGCATTATCTCTGATACTTCCTTGAACTCTTCTTTCACAGTCTATGATGATCTCTGGAGCTTGTCTGTCACGGTCTGTGATAGTCTCTGGGGTTCTCTGTCACGGTCTGTGACGGCCTTTGGGGTTCTCTGTCACGGTCTGTGATGGGTTCGGAGGTTCTCTGTCACGGTCTGTGATGGTCTCTGAGGTTCTCTGTCACGGTCTGCGATGGGTCCGGAAGTTCTCTGTCACGGTCTGTGATGCGTCCGAAGGTTCTCTGTCACGATCTTTGATGGCCTTTCGGGTTCTCTGTCACAATCTGTGATGGATCCAGAGGTTCTCTGTCACAGTCTGTGATGGATCCAAAGGTTCTCTGTCACCATCTGTGATGGTCTTTGGAATTCTCTGCCACTGTCTGTAATGGGTATTGGGGGTTCTCTGTCACGGTCTGTGATGGATCCGAAGGTTCTCTGTCACGGTCTGTGATGGTCTCCGGGGTCCTCTGTCACAGTCTGTGATGATCTCTGGGGTTCTCTGTCACGGTCTGTGATGGGTCCAAAGGTTCCCTGTCACGGTCTGTGATGGGTCCGAAGGTTCCCTGTCACGGTCTGTGATGGTCTCTGGGGTTCTCTGTCACGGTCTATGATGGTCTCTGGGGTTCTCTGTCACGGTCTGTGATGGGTATTAGGGTTTCTCTGTCACGGTCTGTGATGAGTTCGGAGGTTCTCTGTCACGGTCTGTGATGAGTATTTGGTTCCTCTGTCACGGTCTGTGATGGGTATGGAATTTCTCTGTCACGGTCTGTGGGGGGAGGGGGGGGGGGTGCAAATTTCTGCCCCTAAACACTTCAACACTCCTTTCAGATCGTGTTTCACAAAAATATTATACAGAAATAAATAAGCTATACAATAACTTGAGACTACCAGAGAGCTCTATACAGCGTGTATTGGCGAGTTTTAGATCAAGAGATAGTCATAGTAGAAAACATTTTATCGAACCTGAATCGTTTACATGTGACATATGTAATATGTTCAGATAAAGTGTTCTCAACGTCGTCAGAAACTTTTTGAACATTTGTAAAAAAAAAAAAGAAGCTGTTAGCATAATCCCTGTGGAATTAAAATGTGAAACACGATGGTGCTGCAAATATTGTAAACGACGGAGTTTATCGACAGATGTCTTGGTTTATGAATTACTCCCTACTATTATTGTGTGTCAGTGATGAAAGATATTAATCTTAATATATTACAGTGAGTATATGAAAGAAGGGCAAAAAGACGCATCTTAAATACAGTTGTATTTCACAGTAATCCAGCTGTAGACTTCGGTTTCACGACTATATCTATCACTGATTATGATGATCTTTGACTGGCGTCTGTCAAGGTCTATGGGGTGAAGGAGCGGATCCAACTTTCTGCGTCTATGCTTCAACACTCCTTTTAGATCGTGTTTCACAAAAATATTTCAGAGAGTTTCGTTATCTATTCTAGTTAGTGTGTGTTGATCACAATGGGACAAAAAAAGATCATTTAATCTTTCTTTTTCTATCCTACTGTAGGTCTAATCAAGATCAACTTTTTTTGTTCATTTTATTTCTGCTCAAAAACATATGCTGTGCTTATTAACATGAATGCTGCAAAGGGTTTTTATATAAATAGTATTTCTATGATATTTGACATCGTATCTCATATCCATACAAGGTCTCATTCTTGTCGAAAAACACAATTAAAAAACCGTCTTCAAGCAGGACGCAGGATGGCTCTGTCCTGCAGGATGAAATTTTTCACGTCCTACCCTGCATCCTACAAAGCAGGACGACTAAGTAATAATGTCCTACAAAATGCAGGGCAGGACGAAAAAACGTCCTGCGACGTTCTCTGATACTGACGTTCCTAGAAGATCTCGTGTAGATAAAATACATCAAGGTGCGGTCCAGATCTCACTCTCCAATTTTTATTACAGCTAATACTTGCTGGATACCTCCATGAGTTATTTCATCCGTCTTCCGATCCGATTCGCACAAATCAAGTAGACCATATTCATTCAAAATCTAATTATAGTTTTTTTAATGAGATATTGTTCTACTATAATTCCCGCATACGATCATCTGCAAGTCAATAATATAAGAGGAACTATCAAGGCTTTACTTACAGCCATGTACCAAAAATTTCTTAAGCAGTTTCAAAATTGTTTCAATCGATGAATAAATATGGCATCTGTTGACAAGAATTGAAAATTGATCTCTGGTCGACGGAATACACGTTAATTCTATATTGCTGACGAATATCTACAATTAATGATATAGGTTGTGTACATTTGTAAACGCGAGTTTGAGTTAACTAAGAATTCAAATAGATAGTCATATCAGAACTACAAATCTATATCGAGAAATAACAAGCTAGGTAGGATATAGAGAATGATAACACGAGGAAAATGCACAAAATATATCGTTGGAAAGAACACTTCTTAAGGAAATAGAATACACATTAAATAAATGTGCACGCAAAACAGGGAGAAAACCAATGTATACAGGTTGAAAATATACTAAGAAAAAAGTGAATTCAATGCATTAAAATAAATTTGATACGATCGGAACGAAACATCTTCTACATCAGTAAAACCTATTGAGGTCCCAGATCCATCCTTCAGGCCGTCTACAACGACGTCTTAAAATGCCTAAAACGGTGAAAAAACGGGGTAATTATTGCCATAAACGATGAAAAACGATCGCGGTTTTTGACCGTTTTCCGTCAGCTCGGGTTGAGGACCGTTTTTTCCCGGAACGTAAACGGCGCCGTTTTAGACTCTTTCCAACAATTAACGATGAGCAGTGCCAGGATCGCATTCTCGCCGTATTATGAATTATTTACACCGTTGTTCCTCATTTACGACACTATTTATATGCTGCCCAAGGACGATTTTCTCCTAGCGGTGGCACTTTAACTTTATTTTGCTTTAATAAAATAAAGTAAAGTAGAGTTGCTTTACTTTACTGAGTAAAGTAAAGTAAAGTAAAGTGAAATATCTCTAACTTTACCATACAAGTAAGATGAAGCAGGGCTCGAAATGGGCCACACTTTTGTGACCCGGCCCGGTCCAGTGTGGCCTGGAAACTATTTAGGTCCGCTCGGCCCGGGCCCGAATGAAACTTTTCTTTATACATTTGTTTCCTCAATAAAACTTATACATTACTACAGTGGTTGTTTATGTATTGGGAAGCAAATACCCAGCCTTATTCTAAGGTTAATTAGCTTAGACTCTGGAACTAAAAACAAGTCACGCTCGTCCGTGTGACTCGCTTGACCCTCGACTATATAGTCGACTCTTTGATGTTTTATAGTCTTCAAAACAGCTAGTATTCAACGTGTCAAAAGAGTGGATGGATGTGTGTGCGTTGATATTAGCGTCAATCTCGTTGCGCACAATGGTATGCGGGTCCGAATGGACATTTCTGTCACAAATACATCTAATCAAATTGATATTCCCACATTGATACTCAACAATAGTCTAAGGAACTACATTATGGCGGCGATATCCACAGGCACCCGAAAAACAGATTATATTCAATTTTCTGAGAGGTCACGAAACAAAACGCATTCACGACACTATTGTGAAACAGCGCCATACTCCTTGAAATTTCTACTAGAAATCCTTTGACTAACCAAAACATCAGCCGACAATATTTTTTTACTGGGGTATGCGCTACAAAAATACGGATTCAATTGAACTCCTAGCTTAAAGTTAATCATATTAGATCTAGTCTTCAATCGAACTGCCATACTTGAAAGAAGCTCCTACTCAAAGTAACCGTCAGATTAGATAGGTAATTTGAATATATCTGTATACATTTCGACATTTGAATGAGTACAGACAAGAACACATACCAGCAGAAAAATTCCCGTTTATTTCATTTATATCTACTTCTGATACCATGAATATAAGACCTGTGACTGATGTTTTCCGCCAAATGTAGTATTAAAACATTGTGCACGTGCATAAAAAGCGTTGTCACACTTTATTTCAAAGTATTTGTCAGCTCTTACCAACTGCTAGTCCTTATTCAAACCCATTAGGTCTAGACTGTTGATTTTTGTTTGATGAATACAAACAACCTGAAGTGTGTCTTCAAGAGATTTTTTTAGTGCACCGGCTAGTCGTTTGTCGGAAACCCTTCGAGACACCACTCATGCCTAGTCACTGTTATGTTTCATTCTATTTCTCTATAACGCCATCCTTTTTTTATTTAGACTTCACCTAATCTCAAATTCGGCTTAATTTGAAAAGATATTAGATCTATAGCACGAGAATTCTTGATGGCAATTTCTAAACCAAAGCCTCATTGTGAACTATTTCTGATTTCTTCAATTTCATTCTGTAACTGGAAAATCAGAGTTTTATTGAAATTTCTCATTAAGGAAATATTAGTGCAGCATTCTCAAAAAAATCTAGCTTTTAAACTTATTTTTCATGAGCGAAATCTGCAGAATGGTTGCAATATGAACCATTAGTCGTTCGTTTTACATAAGTGCACTTATGCAAACAGTTTGTTTATTGTTATTTAACATA